TGCGCGTCGATCGACTGGGGCGGGGCGGGGCGGGGCGGGGCGGGTCGGGTCGGTGCGGGGCGTTGGGTTTGTGGTCACAGCGGTGTAATTCACATTAAATACCGCATTTTTCTTATTTCCTCGGCCCATTTCCATATACTCGCCCACTCACCCGACCGACCGCCCGCACGACAATTGGACGTCTCTTCATTCGCTTGACATTCGACATTAATACCCGGAGCTCAAACAGGACGCAGTCCGGGTCCTGGTCCGGGTTTCGCCTGCACAATTTGCATTTATGAAATAACATTTTCTTTTATTTTTGTTTACCATTTTTTTCCTTTTTGTTCTTGGCATTTTAAATTTTGACTTTATTTTTGTTTTGGGGCCGCACAAAGCACTCGTCTGTTACAGCTGCCGAATTGTCTTAGTTACAGCTGGAGGAGCGGGCGCATTGAGCGGGGGGATGGGGGGGCCTGGCGGCATTCATATGGGGACAATCTGTATGCCCATTGTCAGGTGCCGCAGCGAGCTGTAATCAATCAAGTTTTCACATGCAAAAAAAAAAAAGATCGAAAAGGACTCGCCCGCAATCAGCGTTCCTTTTGCCAACCCCTTTTGCCCCTTTCGGTCAGGCTCGGCCACACCGCAGACCAGCAGCCCGTCATAAATATCAATGAGCTGCTTTCCTTTTGGCCTGTCTTTGAGCTGTGCACGCGCTTGTCTACCCTACTTTCACCTCGCATTTGCATGGGGCATCTCGGGCGGGTTGATGCGTTTGCAACACACGATCTATTTGGTCTCCATGTTTACTTTGTGCTTGAATCTTAATGCAAGCTGAATGCAACTCCTCCTTGGTCACATTGCCATCTGCTTAGTTCAACATATATCTAGCTCATGTTGTAGCTCATGTCCTCTTTGGTCACATTACCCTCTCCAACTCAAAGCTGTTTGCTTCGCCTAGTCTCAGTTTTTATTCGCATCCATTTTAGTTGCTACCCACTTTGATTATGTCTAAGCTACAAGTGTATGTCCTCCATGTTCACTTTTCAGTTATAATTTGTATAAGTCCGTGTTATTAAGGCCCTACATGGGCACATTAATTGCTTTATAGTTACATGAGCTTCTTTTCTACTGATCAATTGCAATTGCTGTCCTCCATGGTCACATTATTTGTCATACAATATCATACATCAAATTTTCTCCATGGTCACATTAATCCATTCTGGACTATATAATAAAATCCCTGCAACGATTTTTCTTTGATCAATTGCGATTGGTGTCCTCCAAGGTCACATTATTTGACCGGCACACATTAACTGCATCAAATATGTTCACATTTATACATTATAGATTCATAATAGAATTTTGACCAGTTGCCATTTGTGTCCTCCATGGACACATTATTGGCAACACACATAAACTATATCAAATTACCTCCATGGTCACATTTACCCATTGGACCTAACAACGATTTTATCCTGATCAATTGCAATGTTTGTCCTCCATGGTCACATTAGTTCCCTCCTTCACCCACATCAGCCCCTTTTACCATTCCCATACTCTCTGGTCACATTGCATATACATATCGTGGCAACATTGCATGCTAGAGTATTTATAATTCGTTGTCGATGTTTTTTTTTGTTTTTTTTTTTCGTTTTTCTGTCGTGTGTGTCTTTTGATTTTCATCCTGGCATTGGGAGAAACTTCAACATATTCATAAATTTTCCAGTTTGTTTAAACAAATTTTTTGCTTTTGTCCGTTATTATTTATTTGCGTAAGTGGCATTCGAAGGGCTGAGTGGGTGGAGTGGAGGGGGGGGGGGTGGGGTGGGGTGGGGTGGAGTTTGAGTGGTGTGGTTCAGTGGCAAGTTGGAAAGTTCGTTGCTTGATTGGATGTGGCTATGCTCCGAGTCTTACTGGGAATGCGGGTCCCTGCTCGGGCGCCAGTCTCTCTGGCTGCGACGACGCCGTCGTTGACGTTGACGTTAAAAAAGGGTTGCCATGCAAAACAAAACGGCGACCTCCTTCTTGGTCCACAAGCCGCACCACGCCCCTAACCAAGCAGTTCGAGCGGGCAACAAACGTGCATGCGGGTTACTTGGGTGCCAATAGCTCAGGCCAGGCAGCACATGTGAGTGTGTGCGTGTGTGTGTGGGCGAGTTTAAGGCTCAGGCTGGCATAGGGGTTAGGGGGAGCGGGCTGCCTGCGGGTCACGACGCTTCGTAATGGTGATAAAATATGCTCAAATTTGCCAAATATGAAAAGGTACAAGGTCCACACACGCGCCCGCAGGGCGCCCAGGCGCAATCCAAATAAAATAATACATATATAAATATATTGAAATCAAGTAGCGAATACAAAGCCCACCCCAACCCACCAGGACACACACCCAAACCCTAATCAGCCGCTCCTTCCCCGCGGGGCCAACGAATCTCAGCGAAATGAAAATAAATGTGTTCGCTAAAACGTAGCGATTGATTTTCGCAGAAATCCCAAGCTCCAAGCCAACCTCCGCCCGCCCCCCTTCACCCCTGCCAAGTAGTCATGCTCCATGCCTGACTGCCCCTCTGACCCCTACCTCCTCGCTGTATGCAGCTGGCTCGCCTTTGTCTCGCAGGACATGGCCTGGACAGCGTTCAGCTGAATTTTTATTCATACGCGAAATAAAAAACGAACTAAAATCAAATAAAATGTGAAAAAAATAATATATTTATTGTGAAATGGCATTTGTGCCTTACTTGGTGGGCGGCGTCGCCTGGGCGGGGGGCATGGCTCCGTTTTTTTCCATTTTTTTCTTCTTCTATTTTTTGGTACATTTTCTGTTGTTGTTTGCTGCGGGGCTCGCGTCTGCGGGCGTCGTGTTGGCCAAGTTCGTCCTTCCGTCCACTTGCTGGTCATTCATGTGTGTCAAAATGGCAAACTGAATTTGTATTCAAACATTCAAATGTTCACACACACACACACACGCACAGGGCATAGACTACGTCGCACATGCGTTAATATTTCCGGGCGTTATGTCAGCTGGCCATAAAAATAGCATAGAAAACACACACACACACACACATATACACATATATATAGCATATTTACACACACACACACACACTCAAATTGTCACGCATTGAATTATTTTGTTTGGTTTGCAAAAAAAATAGATTTGTATAAAAATAAAATAGAAAATGTCTCAAAAAAAATTTGCATTTTATTCAATTTTTTGAGCATGCCCCCTCGCCCTCTCCCCCCATCGACCAATGCCTTGACTGAAGCATCCCCCCTGCCCAGCCCTGTGTTGGCCACTCGCATTGTTCTGGTTATTTACGAGTTTGTTAAGTGCGCACATTCAGCGCCTTTGGGCGCCCGCTGAGCGACCCGCTGGACAGGACACATATACCCCACACCGCTGCCTTGCCCCACACGACTAACCTTACCCGCAAGCACCACCCAAAAACCCGCTTGAACTCTCCACGCACCATTGAGCCTGAGAGTCAGAGCCAGTGCCAGAGCCAGAGCCACAACCAGACCCGGGTCCTGAGCCCTAGCCCAAGTCCAGAACCCGCATATGGCCCAGCAATTTGTATCGGCTCTTATTGTAGTTGTTTCTGTTCCTGTTGTTGTTGTTGTCACAAGCCTTGCGTTGGCTAACGACTTTCAGATTTCATATTCAATGCCAGGCCATTAATGCAAATGCTAATCGAATTCTTATTCCCATTTATTAGAGTTTGCCACCATTACGAAGCCTATCATCGCAGCGGCCATCCCTCGAAATATTATCATACAAAATATATTATCAGCATATCATATTTTATCACATAAAACTGTTCGTCGCAACTGTAATTTTGATTGTAGTTATCTACCTAATGTGATGTTAAGACGGTTTTTTTTTTGCAATTGCACACGAAAGCGTGGAACAAAAGCGGAAAACAGTTGGAAGAATCTTGTGGGAATTCACTTGAGACTCGATTCACACTTAATGCAATAAACGTGAGTTAAAGACTTAAGAAATACTTGCTTCGACGATTTTGCAAATTCCATCAGTGATTGCGGAAAACTGACGGAAATTGTCTGAATTATAAGTTGGTCGAGAAAAAAACCATCTACAATATTCTTTATTATGTCTATAACAATGTAGTACACAGATCTACAATACCGCTGCCAAATTCAATTTACATGATGTATGTATGCATGCCTGTATGGTGCGCTGTATTTTCAAAGATCGCCCTTCTATTCGATTCTCACTGATTTAAGTGACTTACAGCTCTTCATGCTTTGTTTATTAGTACTATACTAACAAGTTGTGTTGGCATTCCTATAGACTATCTCGAGTTGTTCTCCCATTCTAACTAAGTATTTCCCTCACCGATTGGGTAAGTTCATTTCAACCGCCAAAGAAAAGACAGACAGCTCTTGATATCAAATTAATTTTTAGTACGGTTTACTTCAAATTAATATATATATGGCAGTACAAACATTTATTTTTTGAAGCACGTTAACTACGAGCTTGGATATCAAAATTTTGCGTAGAATTCCAATGTTCTCCATTTGCAGTTTAAGAAAACCAAATAAGGTTCAGGTGTTTATTCCAAATAAAAAATAAACAAATTTTTAAAGGAAGCTATTCTCATTCCATAAGCTATTTCTCCTTCTACACCAGAAGGAGGAAACCAAAAGAGTGCATGCAGAAAATAGATTATTAAGGAAATATTCGAAACAGTGCTCCGAATTTGACTGGTCAGATGTTAAGTTTTCTTTCTTGAGTGATTTTCGGGACTCATACTTATGGATCAGTTGAAGGGCATAATACCATCTGCATGGATAAGCAAAGGCTTAAGAATCAGTCACATAGCTAACGCATATCTAAAAGGTCGACTAGCAGTAGGTAATAGGGCGATATGAGCATGTCCATGTCCAAATTTTATATAGTCGTCCGTAAAGGTAGATTGGCACAAAAAATATTTGCACGGTGCCAATGGAAACTCCCGATTTAATGCATTTATAAAACACCATTGCTGTTAATCAGCTTAGTTTTTAAGTTCCTGCTGGGATTTTTACTAGTTGATGCGATCTAATTAAACAGTTGATAAAACTTATTATAGTATTCAAAGAAAGAAGCAGTCTTGCAGCACGCTATCCAGTTGACATCGTACATTGAACACCTGAATTTGGGGAGTTTCCTTGAACTATTTAGTCTGATATTTGAAGGTAGAAAGGTTAAGGCTAAGGTACATTAAATCCTATTCAACCTGAACAGCGTTGCCAACTTACCTGGAGATATCTCCAGTATTTACAACTACTATAACAGATCTGTCCTTCGACTGCTCTAGATATTCTTAGAGCCGGCTCGACTGAAGGAGAATGCATTAAGAGAGGAGGAATTTTGTAGTAGGGGAGACAACTTACACGAAAAACCAAATGAAGCTAAAACCAAGCAAAGAATTTAAATCGACTTGAACTAAATTATTAAAATTGTTTTTCCTACATATTTGGATATCTGTTTTGTTGTTCTCTCTACAGAGAACCAGAATGACAGATTCGAAGATACCCGGGCTACTTAGTTCTGTTAGATATCTGCAATTAAATTTTTTTCTTATTCAGGATAATAATATTGTTTTTCTTTATCAATATATTTTTTTCATGAAATATATATACCCGTATATATATGTATAAATGATATTTTTATACCCTGAACCCATTAAAAATGGGTAAACAGGGTATATTGTATTTGTGCAAATGTATGTAACAGGAAGAAGGAAGCATCTCCTACCCCATAAAGTATATATATTCTTGATCAGCATCTATAGCCGAGTCGATCTAGCCATGTCCGTCTGTCTGTCTGTCTGTCTGTCTGTCCGTCTGTCCGTCTGTCAGTCCGTCCGTATGTATGAACGCAATTTTAGCTGTAGTCCCCGCGCATATCGAGTTTGTTTCCGATATTCCATAACTTGCCCCGTTTCCAAGTAATCAATAGAAATCGATATCGAAATCCTGTTTTTCGAGCAATTTTGGCAAATAATAAGAGCTAGAGTCACCAAACTTAACATGTAGCTTCTAGAATAGTATATATATATCAAGTATCTTTCATTTTATACCTATCGCCTGTTGGAATAAGAGGGTTCAGGGTATTCCCTAGTCGGGAGCTCCCGACTAGAACCTCTTACTTGTTTATGTCTGCGAGGATATTAAATCTAGGATGCTAAGAAGATTATTCTTCCAGGTTAACTTCGGCAGATTAAATATTCTCTGATTTCTATATTTGACATACCATATTTTATTTACTTCAATATACAGCCTTGACTACCAGTTAATGTTGACATGCATGTTAGTGTTACTTGACTACCAGTTAATTTTGACAGTCATAATAGTATTGCCTTTGGCGTCTTTAGGTCTGCCTCAAATGCACGTTTAATCCAGCTGGTGCTGAAAGTGACGCTGGTGCCTAAAGCTTGCCCGGCTTAGCGTGACTGGCTGACTAACTGGCGGACTCGTCTGGGGCCGGGGAGGGAAGGGAAGGGGGGGGGGGGGCTGGAACGCGACGACCTTGTTGCATGCCAATATTAATAATAACAATGGGCAATAAAGCCTATTAGAGCCGGCACACATTTTGCCATTAATGAAATACATTGATTTCTATGTTAGGGCGAGCTGCAGGCGCAGATAACCCCAGGCTCAGGCCCAGGCCCAGGTCCACCCACCTCTGTTTACCTGGCTGGCTGTCAGCAAGGGTTATGTTGAGGGGCGACTGTCGACCCAATCAATGCGATGGCATCGAAAAGAAACGCTTGCCAAAAGAATGTCTGTTTTGTGACTTTGCGTGTTGTCACGTTATAAAAATCAGTGATCCACGCCGAAAAGCGAAAACCCGTGGCTGGGGCGTGCTTCGGGGTTGGGTGCAAACTGAAATAGTTCTAAGCAGGGCCCAACTCCGGCCAAAGGCTCTATTAAGTCGGGCCGTTTGTTCCGCTCGTTACCAGCAGCGCCCCAAAAATAGCTTGCAAGGGGCGGAGGGGTGGGGAGGGGTATGGGAATGGAAATGGGAATGGGAATGGGCACGAGTAAGTCAACGGGGTTTGTTGATCCTCGAAGGAACTGCCCCTGGCCGCGCATTGTGTGCATGTTATTAATAAATCTTTAACCCTTTGCTGCGTGCGTGTGTGTTAAAATGCCTTCCTGTTGCGGAAACGGAAACGCAATGCCGACAGAGTTGCCAGCGCGTATATATAATCGATTAATTCGAAATAGATTGAATTTATGGCGCTGCAGTGCCAAATAAAACATGCCCCCCCTGACTACCCCCCCCACCCCCGACTTAGTACTTGCCCTAACTACCATCATGAAAGAACCCCTGACTATCCCCTCGACTCGAGCCATGACTAGCCCCATTGGCTAGTCACTGACTAACTCTTCGACTATCCCCAGGCTCTCCCTCCGACTATCGCCCTGACTAGCTTCTGACTATCCTCCGTCTCTTCCCCCGATTCTTCCCGCGATTCTTTCCCCGACTCTTCCTCTGACTCTTCCCCGATTCTCCTTTTGACTACCCCCCTGACTAATATATGACAATCCCGTGATTTTCCCCCGACCATCCTCTTACTTACCGCCCACTGTACCGCGCCTATCCCCTACTATCCCTCTTTTTCGATCCGTGACTACCCCTCTGACAATTCCCTGACTATCCCGAGACAATTCTAAAACTATTTCCCGACTATCCTCCGACTATCCTCGACTAACTTCTTACTAGCCCCTGACTTACCATCTGTCTAACCCCTTGAATACCCCCTGATTCTCCTCCGACTACCCCCCGACTACCCCTGACTAACCCCCTGACCTTCCCGCTGACCTTCCCGCATACTAACCCCCACTATTCCGCGCCTATCCCCCGACTATCCGTTCACTAACCTCCTGACTACCCTTTGACTTGCTCTCTGACCTTTTAGACAAAAAAATTAACATTTATTTCCGCTATTTTCTTTTAGCCAGAGTTGCCTTAGCGCTTAGGCCGTTGCACCTGCCCTACGACAATGAACTCTACAAAACTTAAAGACCTCAAAATAAAAACAACAACAAAAACTCACAGAGAGAGAGAGAGAGAGAAAGAGAGGGGGGAGAGCAAGCGAGAGAGCGCCTGGCAGAAATTAAAGTAAAAGTCGCGAAAAGTTTTTGAAGAACTTTCGCCGGTTGAAAACTTTTTGCGAGGCCATAATTGAAAATTTGCTTTTCCAGCGCATTTTCCAACAAATGTTTGGCCATTTTTATGCATTTCTCTGGCGCTTCTATTTTATTTTTGTCGCCTGGACAAGCTTAAAGCACGGCTTTAAAGCGACCGCCGCAGCTGATTAATTAATTGGGCGCAAATATCAATGAAGGCTGCACGGCATAATGGGCAAGGGATGTAGGCGGGGACGGACTGTGTGGCGTGAGGGCGTGTAGGGGCATAAAATTTGTGCAGTTCAATGAAGCAGCGGCAGCTGCGTGGCCATTCGTGGTGGTGCGCCGAGCGGTTAGCTGCCTTTGATGGATTGCAAAAAGGTATTTTATGTAATATGTAACCAGGGCCAAGGCACCTAAATAACAGCAGCACAAGAGGGGGTGGGGTTTGGGGTGGGATTTGGATTGCAGCACATATGTATAGCATAAGGCGAGCCTAGCTATATGTGCACAGCTTATATATTTAGAACACCCGCCCAGCCCATCCCAGTCCGCCCTAGGCCAAAGAGCGAGCCAGCGCGAACTGGGCGTCAGAGTGAGAGCGAGTGCGAGCGAGGGCGAATCAATGCGGCGCTCGAGAGGCGCAAGCGTTGGTGCTGCTGCTGCTGCTGCTGCCACCGCCGCCGCCGCCGCCGCTGCTGCTGCTGTTGCTGTTGCTGCTACTGCTGTGTGCCGCCTCCCAATGGGAAAACCATATGGAGGCGGCGCTCACTGTGGCCACCGACCAAAAACGAAAAAAAAAAACAAAAAAGTGGGAAGTCCTTCTGGCTGCCGACGCATGCAACGTTGGGCGCATGCGTCAAGCTGGGCGCGGGGGTAAGTCCGAAAAATGTTTGTGGCCCAGCGACTGTGCTACTAGGTTCTACTTAATGGGGCGCATTCGGAATGCGCTGCTCAGTGGCGCACGGACCGGCAATGGGGCCAAGACGCCACGCTAGTGCCAAAATGTGGCGCTTTATTATTTTCCACTAAGGAGCCAACAATTTCAAGTCCAAAAAAATGATATATATATATATATATAAAATGGCAAAAGCAAGCCAGACGGGCAGCGCGCTTGGTGGTTGGGGCTGCCAAAAAAAAAAAAAAAAAAAACAGAATTCCAATTTGAAATTCGTATTTGCAGGTCGGCAACAAGGGGATGAATAATTAGATTTCTCAGTCCGACGGCCTAATTTCATTGTTTTTACAGTCATTTCGAATGATTTTCTTTTCACTTTTGAGCCTGGCCTTATGGGCGAGGGGGGGGCGGTTTGGGTCTTGGGGGTTTGTTCATTTCATTTGCCTTGGCTCCTTATTTTTTTTATTTTTTTTTTTTTTATTTTGCTGTTTCTTATTAAGTTGAGCGACAGTTGTTTTTATTATTTTTATTGTTAACGCTGCCCGCAGAGCCCACCCCACCCCACCCCGCGCCCTCTAAATCAAAACTGACTAATGGCATGCGAAAAACAATAAAAGCCCTAAATGAAATAATGAGCACAATAGGCAATCCGCGCAACAGAATGGGGATGGGAATCGGAATGGGAATGGGGGTAGGGGGTGCTTAGCCCAGGGGAGTGATGGCTCAAGAGGCGGGCAGTTGACAGACAGTCGAAATATTATTATTATGAAGCAGATCTTGCAATTTGCCAATACATATGATATAGTCAGTTGTAGAGATAAGCAGCCGAATGGCAGGGTGGACCTTATCGGGTCAGTCTGGATTGATATTGATGTGGGTAGGCATCAGGGCCAGCAAGCTGGTCAAGTATTTTTAATGTGATTATCTTGTAGCGTGCATGTCGCATGTGTCCAATGACTTACAGCACAGACTCCGAGAGACCCAAAGTCCCATAGTTCTGGAGCTGGCCGGTCCTCAAGTCCTCAAGTCCTCAAGTCCTCAAGTCCTGTGTGGCAGCCAGTGGATGGGGAGTTGTAGCTGTTGGCTTATCGGCAAAGTAACAGCAAAAGAATTGACAGCACCAGTCAGGCACACACACACGCACACACACACACACACACACACACATGGGTGTACAAAATGGACAGTGGTTGAAGTGGTGCAGGGGCGACTCTGTCCGGTCCGTTCAATGATTAAAATGATGATGTCAGAGAGCGCACGAAAACAATCGACAAGCGACATTCCGTACTGTCTATATATTATTTATTTTTATTTTATTTTTATTTCTCTACTATTCTTTTTTTTTTCGGTCTACAAGTGCCAAAACTCAACACAGAACTCAACTTTATACTTGACCACTTCACTGCTGAGGGCTGTCGGTTGTCGGCGGGAGCAGGGCGGGGTTGGGGTCGGGGTCGGGGTCCAGCACGTCTGGCAGACACAATTGGAAATCACGAGGCGCCAAAACGAAGCCAATCGTCAGTGCACAGGCCTTGAGGGCGCCATCAATTTATGACATTCATTAGAATGCCCGATTAAGAAATCCTTAACATAAGCAGCTGACGCCAGGCCAGGCCAGGCCGGGCTCGAACTCCCAGCAGCAACAGGCCCTGGAAGTTCTGGTCTAGACTCTACAGTTGACAGTTTACAATTTACAGTTTGCTTGGTTTATTGAAAGTAGCTTTAAGAATGTTTTGTACACAGCTGTTGCGACTCGCGACCAGGTGGGACAGACGCTGGCATTGGGGTGGTGCGGTGCGGTGCGGTACTGTGCGGGGCGGATGGCTGCAGCGGCAGCGAATTCCATAATTAAGTATGCGGTTTACACGCGCAAACAGGACGAGCAGCTGAAGCAGCAGCAGCAGCAACCACTTGGCTGTGACACACAGACTGGGCAGGTGGTTAGACAGTGCCGGCCGAGCTGGGCATTCAGGGAATGGATGGGGGAAGCGGCGAGGAGCGAGCGAGGAACTGGTACATGGCACAACTGTCACCGTGGGCTGCCAGTGGCAGTGCCTTTGGGACAACTAGCGCTAGGATTTATGTGCACGACAAACAAACGACCACCGCAGGACAAGAAAGTGCTTAAGAAGTGCCAAGCGCGCGCGACGGGTGGTTGGGGGGGGGGTGGGAGAGGGGGGGTGGTTGGGGGGTGGTTGTGTGCCAAAAAGGCGCAACAATCCAAACAGCTGCAATAGACAACAACAACAACAACAACAACAGCGAGAGCAACCGCAGCGACCAGCGACCACAGACCGCGCTTCAGCGTACCCAGTCTAAACAGGACTCCAGCCCCAATCCCCCAGCCCCTCAATCCCCGAAGACACCAAGACAGCACCCCACACCCATCCGCACCATCTATTGCCTAGTCCAACTGCTGGCGCTTGTCCTTGCGCCTTGGTCTCCATCCATGCCCGCTGGCAACCAACTTATTTAGCCGCGAATCGAATGAAATGCCGCGCAAGCCAGTCCCCCCTTCTACCTCCATGCCCCCGCTGCGATCACCTACACTTACTGCCTGCAAATCGTTTGCGTTGCCGCCGCACCTACCCCTCGGCCCCAACATTGCGCTGCGTTCGTCAACGACATTTGGGACGCATTTACCAAAACATTTTACGTATTCAGCTGCAAAAGTTTGCAAAAGACGGCGCACCAAACCGCGGCCGCTCCCCTTCTCTCAACCCTCAACCAACCCTCACCCCTCACTCAGCTTGCCCAAGTGTTTGCTGGCCGCCGACTAGCATTTTGCTAGTTATCATTGAACCATAGGCCACAGAGACAATTTGACTGGCAGAAATTTAAGTCTAACAATTATTAAAAGTCCGTTTCTATCAAGAAAACACTTAAAAGCCATACAACTGTTAATAACATAAGCAGAAGCTGTTAAGTTTACAGCTGTTTAGCATGGAATTTACATTTGCTATGTACTTACTATCTGTTGTTACGCATGGCTTTTACTTATTGTCTGCAGAGTTTGTTTAAGAGAAAAGAAATCATACGCTTTACACAATTTTCATTAAAAAAAAATTAATTTTCTTACAGAAAAGTCTTGTGAACAAATCCCAACTTTGACTTGGACAATGTGAAATACATCTGAAATTCTACAGAAGTCAGGAATATTCATTCCAGGTAAGCCGATTTCCAACTATGTATACTTTATTTCGGAAAGGTTATTTAATTATTTTGAACACTATGAAGAGTCTGTATTTTGAATTCCATGTAAATAGATTTCCACTTATGTGTGCTTTTATTTCGAAATGGTAATTTAATTATTTCGTTAACAACGTCAGAGTCAATTTTGGATTGCATGTAAAGAGATTTCCACTAATGTATGCTTTATTTCGAAATGGTAATTTAATTAGTTTATAAAATTCGAGGAGACAGCCATTTTTTAATTCGAATTGGTAATTTTATAGACCTCACTTTGCGATATGAGAATGCGATGAAAAGTTGGGCGCACAATAAAGTGTGTAATTATTTAAACAATTGTGCTGGCCAAAGGGGATACCCTACTCTGGCACTCAAGGATATAGCCGACTATAGATTCATGCTCTATCTGCGTCTTATTAATGGCCCCAAACGGTTTCCATTATGTTCCATAATCCACAGTCGTATACCACACACCGTACTTGATCTAACCCCGCCCTATGGCCAGCTCCAGCCCCAACCTGGCCACGCACTAAGCGCAGTTCCATGCTGTTGGCCCGTTCTGTTTGCACTTTGCATTTGTTGTGAGCTCTGCTGCTGCTGCGTCTTCTTTCCGCTTTTGTTGTGCTAGTTCATAACGGGACAGCTATTGCCGCTGGGCCTTAGCCAACAACAATGGCTCATATCAATGTGCGGGCTGTTAGCAATGTGCGTGCGCGTCTGTGTGTGCGTGTGCGGTGTGGCAACGCTGCTCGTTAAAGCGCTGCCAGCGTTGCCATTTAAAGCGACGCGACTGAAATTATGCCATAGAAAATTTAACAAATGACAGCAAGCTACTCAATTAGCCACACAAAAATAAGTGAATGGCAACTGTCGTGGGTGGGGAGGGGGGGGGGGGTTGTAGGTGTTGGTGGGGGGTGACAGTCAGTTACAGGACACACAACACACAACACACACCCACACACACACACGCAAAGTCGCCCACAGGGCAGAACAACAGCAAACGCGAACGAAATATATGCAAAATTGTTGTTGTTGTTGTTGCTGTTGCTGTTGCTGTTGTTGCTGCTGCTGATGATGTCTAAATGTGCGCACATATACATGTATATATATACAGTTATACACTCGTGTGTGCTGTCATGTGTGTGCGTGTGCGAGGACTCACGCACAATCCAATATAAATAAAATATACACACAAATACGCGTAACGACCTCATTAGCATAATAACGGTAAGTAATGGATGAAAAATGCCATTAAACAACACTTTATGACTTTCTCTTGCTCTTGCTCTCTCTCTCTCTCTCTCTCTCTCTCGCACCCACACACACACACACACAAATTTGATTTAAATGCGTGCGTGCTGCTGCTTGTTGTTGTTGTCGGTGTTCGCACTGGCTTCAAATCTAAGACTTAAAAGCTCCTCACACACACACACACACATAAACATTAACCGATCGACAGACAAAACACAAATGAATAATGAAGAAGCGGATAAGGGTAGACGGAGGGGGGGGGGGGTTTATGCTCGCCCTGGGCAGTGGCTTGCGACTTTTAAAACAATTTCAAGATTTCAAGACGCTTTAAATCACGGCGAAGGACAAGGAATTCAAGAAAGATAAAAAAAAACATAAATAGAAAAAATATTATCAATTTTACTATTATTAATAAATATTATTATTATTATTATTATTATTATATTATTATTATTATTATGTTATTATTATTATTATTATTATTATTATTATCATTATTATTATTATTATTATTATTATTAATATTATTATTATTGTCATTATTATCATTACTTCTATTATTATTATTATTATCATTATCATTATTATTATTATTATTTTAATTACTAAAGCTATTATTAACATAATTATTATTATTTCTATTCTATATATTTGGAAAAGAAAGTTTAAAAAAATGTAAAACTTAAAAATTTAGTTCAAGTTGATTTATATTCTTTGCTTGGTTTTAGTTTGTTTTGGTTTGTCTTGTAAGTTGTCTGCCCTCTTACAAAATCTTCCTTCTCTTTTAATGTATTCTCCTTCAGTCGAGCCGGCTCTAAGAATATCTTGAGCAGCCAAAGGACAGATCTGTTATAGTAGTTGTAAATACTGGTTCAGGTTGAACGGGATTCAATATATCAGCTTTATCCTTTCTATGCAGACACAGTTCATGTTGGTTCCTAAATGCGTAAATGGGTAAAATGTCAGACTTAATAGTTCACGGAAACTCCCCAAATTCAAGTGTTCAATGTTCGATGTCAACTGTATATTTGATTTCTCACTTATGCTTCACACGTCATTCGTAAACGTTAGCACGAAAGCAGCTGGCTTTCAAGCACTCCCATTAGCTATCGGGCCATAATGGGAATGTTATTTGAGGAATCCAGTTTGAATCTCCTGCTGCTCTAATGAATTACTCTGGACATATAGATTCTATTAATGCGTTTTTCTCTTTTTATGATCACACCTTAATTTGCTAATCATTTTGGAATCGTTCTATGGGCCTTTAAGTGCGACAATCTCATCTTTATTGGTTAATTCCGAGCTGCCATTTAATTTGCTCGAATTTTTTTGTTTTTTTTTCTGTTATTTTAACTGCTTTGGTTTCGCGCTCTTTTTGTTGGTGTTTGTTTGCTTGTTTTTTATTTTTATTTTTATTTAAATTTTGTCGCCTAGCTGCTTAATTTCAACGAATTTAACGCATTGTGAGCCTTATTTTTTGGGTGGGTCAATGGAAGGGGGGGTGCCGTTTGGGGGGGGGGGGGGGTTAATGTTTATTTCAGGCTGGCAAAACATGTTTAAAGTATGTTAAACGGCGGCCTCAAGCCGACCCAGCGCTGACCCCCACAGCCCCCCCTTCCGCCATTTCCCTTGAACAGATAAAAGGCACATTCCCATGGCTGAGGCACAACCCCTTTCGCTATGGCTTTGACCCCACCCGCCCAGCCTGAAAACCTATACCCCAAGCCCCCGCTAGCTGAAATGTAGGCTAGGGCTTTAGCTCCATGTCCGACCCGCTCGCCTCGGCTTGTTTATTTAGGTCTGAGCTAATAAAAAGGCTTACCATCTCAATAAAAGTATTTAACACAAGCGTTTTACTACACTTCCAGCATTTTCTTTTTTTTTTTTGCTACTTTCCTTTTTTTTTTTTTGCTTTTTTGTGCGTGCCGAAAAATTTTCCTTGCTCTGGTTTCAGTTTCAGCGATGCCTTCAAATTTTCCTGGGCTCTATTTTTTTTTGCTTTCTCCGTTTCTGTTGTCTTTGGGCTTGTGTCCTGTTTGGTATCGGTGACGCCAAGTGAAAGCAGTTGAGTAAATCCCTTAATCTATGGAAATGCTACGCAATTACCACGACAAGTTGAATGCCAAGGCGGCCGCCGCCGCCGCCACCGCCGCGTCATGTGATGCCCCCCACACCGCCTCCTCCTCTCTGCCCGGCCACTTGCTCCGGCTGTCCTTAACTGACTGACAGTCCTGACCCTTTCGGCGTGCCCTTTTTACTTATTTTTTTTTTGCCTCTTACTGTAACGGACCTGAACGTGGCTGCTGCTTTGGCTGCTTTGGCAGCTTTCTTTGGAGTGTTTACACAACCAGTTACAAAGTGCACAAGCCACCCGGCTGGGTCCTTAGTCTTTTGGTCTTTGGTCCTGTGTCCCTTTTGCTCGGCAGCTCCTCGGGGCCAATGGACGCTCTCTCACGTACCGCGTGCCGGGGCACAACAAATCAAATTTGCATACCAAGTATTATCGGTAACAGTAAGACGAGTCCTTAGCAGGACCTCGCCTCCTGCAGCCAGCTGCGTTCCACACTACGTGAACGCAAGCAAACTAAATATTGAGCCAATAAATGTTGAACAAAAATGAGCATTTATGTTCTTTCTAATAAAACATATGATTTTTCGTGCATAATATGTGAATATTATGTGCATATCTATATAAAAGACCTTGTCCTGACGGACGCACTGAACTGAAGCTGACATTTCTACTGAAGATTCCATTTCGTTCAAGTGAGTACAGTTCTTTGGAAAACTCGAGCTGCAAGTGTTGGTAAACGTTGGTCAAAGTTCGAATGACAAGCACCGAAAACAAGCTGACGAGATGAGTCTGTGTTGCTTAGCATTTCTGTCTGAGCGTCGAACTAGCAAGCAAAAGGTTGCCGGTTCAATTTTCAGCTATGATACATGTTTATTTCTTGTATTTTTACCATCAGGCAAAGAGCCTGGAAAATCAGTTAAAATTAAAAATAAATGAAAAAATTTAATATTAAGTATATTAAAGAATAGTATTGAAGATTGTTAATTAAATCAAATACAAGGCTGTCTATATTTATTCTTTGGCACGCGCCAGGCAAACTGAGCACGAAGTTTTGAGAATCGCAGCCCTTGAAGACTGGCTCGTTTTTTCTGATCTCAATTAATGCCAAGCCTGAACAAACCTAGCTTCGCTGGTGAGCTTTTCTAGAAAGTATTTGAAAAGTTTATTGAAAAAACAAATATTATGAAAAATAGTTTTCATGATATTGAAAAACCAGAATTACTTTGAAGTGTTTCTGGCTTGACTTAAGTTTAGCTCACTTTATTAAGGCCACTTTAGCTGATTCCTTAAATTATGTTGGGCTTTTGCAAATGCCTAACTGGATCCTTGCTTACTACTATGGATGATCCGAGGTATACGTATAGCCTAGCAACAACAAGAACAACAGCAACAACAACAACAACAACAAGAAGAAGAACAACAGCAACTGGCAGCTGGAATTCCATTTAGGCAACAAACCTTATTAGGCCGCACGTCAGTTGCAATTTGGCTAGCCCGAAAAACTATGCAGCAATAATTGCAATTCACGCTAATTATGATTGATTGAGAAGAGGAGATCCCCGCCCATTGGCCGCTCATAATTGCGAAACTATGATGAGGGCTCTAGCCGCCACGTTTTGGCCGCCAACGCCGACCGTGTGCCCGACTCCGGCTGAGC